CACTGAACTCCCATTCATCTCAGAATGGTTCTTAAAGGGGCCAGTGGGTAGCATAGTAGTTAAGGCACTGGACCTAACATGTGGCTGACTTTCAAATTCAAGTCCTGGACCTGGTGACTTGAAATTCATGCTGGGCATTTGTGTATGTGTGCTCATAATCCCAAGAGGAGAACAGAGGAGAAGGGGCTATGGTGTGGCCATCCCCCTGGGGGGTGATTTCTCACTTTCTGCCTCTCTGCCAAGCACATGTGCCCACATAGCAAAAATCTCTCAAAAACAAACAAACAAAAAACCCCAGTGCGTCTCTTATTATTAAAAAAAAAAAAAAGGCAAAGAATAGGAAGTTCTGGTAAGACTGTGCATAAAGGGGAACCCTTATGCACTGGTGAGAATTGAGTGGTACAACCGCTATGGGAACCAGTAAGGAGAGTCTACTGATCAAAAAGCTCTCAATAGAAACAGAACTACCTTATGATCCAGTATTCCCACTACTGGAGGCAGATTAGATATAGATACTGATGTAGATATAAATGTATAAATATACGGTCTCCAAAGGACAGGAAGTCAATTCGTTGAACTGTTTATTGTAGCATGTTTACTGCAGCATTTTTCAAGACAGGATATCAAGATAGGATATCAAACTTAGGTGTCCAACAAATGATAAACAGACAAAAGAAAACGTGGTACATTTACAAAACGGAATACTGTTCAGCCATAAAAAAGATACATTCCTATCATTTGGGGCAAAATGAATGAACATGGAAGAAATACTGAATAATGCAGGCAAAATTAAGCTCCATGTCCCCATTTAGCACATACTGTGTTGTCCTCACCTCTGGCAGAAGCTGGAAAGTAAAGGTGGGTGGGGAACTTCAGAAGAATTTGGTTAAGACACAAAAGTGCACGTAAACAACTAGAATGGGGAGTGAAAAAGTACAGCACAGCTTAGTAAAGAAAAGTAAGTAAATAAATAAATGCCTTCTACCCTCGTTGAGAGTAAAAATAAAGAATTTTTTTTAAAAACAGTGAAAACACTGGGACCAGCAGATGGCATAATGGCTATGTCGCTGGACTCCCATGTAGTCGACCGCAGTTCAAGTCCCGGACCCAGTAGCTTAAAACTCATGCTGAGCGTGTGTATGTGCGTCCCCAAGATCCCAAAAGGAGAATGGAGCAGAGGGAATTGTGGCATGGCCATCCCCCCTGGGGGGTGATTTCTCACTTTCTGTCTCTCTCTGTCTTTCTGGTGAGTGCACATGTTCTATAGCGAAAACCTCTCAAAAAAAAAATAAGTAAAATAAAATGAAATAGTGAAATTATTTCATGTAAAAATTTATGGCATTCATTAAAAACAATAATTATAAGAAAATTCATTCTACTAAACATTTATCAATAAAAATTAATGACAAATGGAATCAATTCCTAATTCAAAAAATGAAAAAAGAACAAGATACAGTAAATAAGATAAAGCAGAATAAGAAACAGATCTAATATCATCCTGTATTTCTGAAAAATTAAAATAGACAATGCATTAGGTTAGCTTAAGAAAAGAGCCCAAGTAGTTAAAAAATTTTAATTATTAGAGACATCCTTCCTTGTAGACCTTTAAACAAATAAATTTGAAACTTACATAAAATGTGTAATTTCCTAGAGAAACAAGATTACCAAAACTGACACCAACAGAATTATACTAATCAAACCAATTCTCATAAAAGAAATAAAGTTACTAGGGAACTGCCCCACAAAAATGCACCAGTTCCAAATACACGTGATCAACATAAGAAAAAAATGTAAACACATTTGAGGCACAAAAACAGATTAAAACAATGGAAAAAACGTCTTTTGTCTTTAGATACAACTCACCATGATAAAGATTTTGGTTCTCCAAGTTAACTTACACATTTCATGTAATCTCAATATACTTTACTGTGGAGCTAGTCTTAAGTGACACGTCTGAACATACTTTTTTGTTTGAACAATGGTAATGCTTTATATATACAAAATAATTAAATCAATAAAATGATAAATCAAAATAAAAGCAAATGAACTATATTTTAAATGAGTGATTTAGCTACACTGAAAGGGAAAAAATAACCCAAGTAATTTTGAATAAAATATTTTGATCCTCAGACTAAAAACCAGTGAACAAATTCTATTATTAGCTAGTCTTTTATTTACCTTTAAATTTTTTATGATTATTATTTTTCACAGTGGTATCAATTCTGAAACTACTTTCAAAATATCCAAGGACTCAACAAGCAAATCAGAAAAAACAACAGCCAATATTTCTTACTGTCAGAGAAAGGACATAAAATAGAAAACTAGAAAATCTATGACACTGGATTAGAACTGTAAATTCAGTATGATGAGGAAGAGACATCTGAAGAGAAGAGATCTAGCTACATAAAAACATGGACTGAGAGAGTATGCACGAGAGGTCTTCAAAAGGTCATGGGAAATTGTATTATACAAAACTGTGCCAAGGATTTTAAAACATTTTTGTAACAGAATTAACTCATGAATGTTGACATGCCCTCATACATACATACACTGTGTCTCCTCTCTCTATCCACAGTGGGAGCACAGAACTAAGGGCACTCCAGTGAAAGAGTGGACACACCTGGCACCCAGATCCCACCTCGCAATCCTAACAGGAACCAGAGATCCTTGAGGAATGGCATCCATGTCTGGAGCCAAGAAAGAACAAGATAAGAACGGAAAATACTGTGCCAGAAAGCAAGCAAAGAAGTGCTCAAAGAATGCAACACTGCCAAAGAACACAGAAAGAATTGCTTAAAGAGACTTAACTGATCAGACATGGAACAATTTGAACGTAAAAAGAAGTTACAATAACAGATTATAACCCATTGAATGAAAAAGAAATCTGGACCAGCTCTAAAACCTGGTTTTTAAGAGGGTTAGATCCGATGTGGCCAAGCACGTAGTTCAAATTCCGGACCTGGGAGCTTGAGAAACACACCAGGAGCATGTGCATGTATGCCTAAAATCACGACAGGGTGGAGGAATGAGGAAAGAGATGCAGCGTGATCACATCCGTATGGGGTGCTTTCTCCCTCTCCATTCCCCCCTCTGGCAAATTACAGGGGAAAAAAGTAAGAATTCATAAATCTATATTCAAATAAATGAAAAATATAATAAATGGGTGAAAAGGAAAAGCCCTTCCTTTATGGTAGAACATCAACTAATAAAGCGTAACTGAATAAGAAGAATCACACACTAATAAATAATTCAGCAAAAATTGCCAATGAATGCTAAAACTGTAAAAGTATATCAAAGTTTGAACAACAGATTATCAACCTAGCTTCAAAGTATTACCCACAAAATGCTTATTACTTGTAGGGTGAAAATAATAACTTTTAAGTAAAGAAATCTTCCAGACACTATATTAAAACAATCAAAGTTATCATCAGTAAATAACAGGACAAAGGTACATATGTCTCCATGTATGACACACAGACAAGACACACCATCACTTCTGTGGTATTCCTGCCAAAAATGCATGACCACAATCTAATCACGTGAAAACACAAATCACTCAATGAGAAATATTCTACAGAGTAACTGCCTCGCACTCTTCAAAAAATGTCAAGATCATGAAAGCTGATGTGAGACGGATGAACTGTTCTAGATTAAAAGAGCCCAGAGAGAGAGAATAACTAAGGCAGTGTGTGACCCTGGACTGGACTCTAATTTAGGGGAGGAGGGTGATAAAAGACACTGTTGGGAAGCTAGCAAATATAAATATGGTGTTTCGATTAGTGCTATATCAGTACTGTATCAACAATACCCTCATTTCAATAATTACACTGTCTAAGAAAGATGGTCTCATTTTTAGGAAATACACACTGAAATATTTACAGTTCAAAGAGACAAAATGATGACAACTTATTCTCAAGTGGTTAAAAAAAAATGTTAAAATGTTAAAAATGTTCAGATGGTGTCATGGTTACGTTGCTGGACTCCCACATAGTTGACTGCGGTTCGAGTCCTGGACCTGGCAGCTTAAAAAATTCATGCCGGGCACGTGTATGTGTGTGCCAAGAATCCTCAGGGGAGAGAGCAGAAGGGATTATGGCAAGGCCATCCCCCTTGCGGGGGGCGGGGGGGTTCTTGCTTTCTGTGTCTTTAGCGAATACACATGCCCAAAAGCAAAATCCTCTCTAAAAAAAAAAAAATTAAAATGTTAACAATTAGAGAATCTCAGAATGGTGTATAGTCATGCCGTAACAGCATGACAGGTTATGAGAACTGGGTCACCAGGTGATTTCATCATTGTGGGAACATCACGGAGTGCACTTACCACACCTAAATGGAATAGCCTACTACACACCTTAGGAGATCACCATTCTTTTTTTTTTTTTTTTTTAAAGATTTATTTATTTATTTATTCATTCACATATTTTAATTTGACCAGAGAGAGACACAGAGAAAGAGAGAGAGGGAAAGTGAGAAAGCAAGTCTCCAGGTCCAGGACTCGAACTGTGGTCGGCCATGTGGGAGTGTCCAGTGCCTTAACCACCACGCCACCTGCTGGTCCCCAGGAGATCACCATTCTATATGCAGTCTGTTAGATGTGCGCAGGACCACACTTTGTACTAGTCTTGGGACTTTTTCTTTTTGTAAGTCTACCCTATTTCAAAGTAAAAAATCTTTTGCCAATTTATTTCATTTATGTATTCCTTTATAAATAAGTACAAGATTGCTATACATATATATCTAAAAAAAAAAAAACTGTCCAAAAAGTACAGAAAATCTAAGTGATAAGAAAGAACAGTTTATTTGCTGGGTTGGTTTGCTAGTTGGTTTTAGTGATATACAAAGTAACAATTCATCTTAGAATTATATATTGAAGGAAATACAATGCTTCCAAGGATTCATAAGAGAGTATCACATAAAAGGCAAAACCAACTAGTCTTATCATATCGTCTCAGTTCAGACCAAAATTGAAAGTCTCTATGTTACCAAATCACCATCAATACCTTGTGTTGCTAGAGTAATCCCACATGGACACATCTAGGAGGCTTCGAACCCAGGTTTTAGAGGGCTCCTTCAGAAATTTTTGCTGGTAGATCCCGACTACAAGGTCCTCTACAGTGAGAAGTTCAAGATCTTGCCTGATTTCTTCGATGAGTAAATTTAAAAAGACATATATAATTAGTGAGTTTAAATATTTTGAATGCATTTTATCAAAATGGAAACAAAGATATTACAGTGCGCTTCTGCAGTGACCCAGAGTGTTACTTACCTGATGCCTTCGCCATGTGCTTCAAACACCAGTTGACTCTGGCTCTATCATCAGACTAGAGAAGAAAAAGAAATTACTTGTATTTCCTCTTACCTTGAATTACTTTTAATTAATCTGTTTTTCAACAAATGAGGGGTGCGACCAGCAAGCAGTGTGGTGGTTATGGTGTTGGACTCCCACATGGTCGAGTGCTGTTTTAAGTCCCAGATCTGGCGGCTTGAAACTCACAACAGGCACATGTACATGTGTGCCCCAAACCCCAAGAGAATGGAGGTAAAGGGACTGCAGTGTGGCCATCCCTCCTGGGGGATGATTTCTCACTTTCTGTCTTCTGGTGAGTACACATGCTCTATAGCAAAAATCTCTCTCAAATGAAAAGAACGAGGAGTAAAATCTCTCTCAAATGAAAAGAACGAGAAGTTTGAGAGGGAGAGACTGAAATGTTTGTGACAACTGAGAACTGTAAAAGAACACCATACATGAGCAAAAGACATTGCTATGATTAAGTTAAATTTATATATCAGTGTTAATATACATTATGGAAAGGAAGGAAGACTTAGGGTAGGCAAATGAAGAATTCATTATGTTCAGGAAAAATATGCTCATGATTACATTAATCTGTGCCAAAGGTAAAACCCAATTCTTTGGCTCTTGGCCTGGAATATAGTCTCTCTAAATATAGAAAGAGGGACAAGGAACTGCTACAATGACAGTTTTGAATAAAAGGTAATCTTGCTCAGAAGGATAGGTGTACAGAATGGAGCATCCATTTTTCCGGGTAAAAAGATATTGCAGATATTTTAAACTAAAAAACAAACAAACCAAAAAAACCTACCAAAATACAAATATGTCTAACTTTTTTTTTTTTTTTGGAGAGGTTTTTGCTATAGGGCATGTGCGCTTGCCAGACAGACAGAGAGAGACAGAGAGATAGAAAGTGAGAAATCACCCCCCACGGGGGATGACCATGCCACAATCCCTTCTCCTCCATTCTCCTCTCAGGATCTTGGGCACGCACGCACACGCGCCCGGCGTGAGTTTAAGCCACCGGGTCTGAGACTCGAACCGCGGTCGACTACATGGGAGTTCAGCGACACAGCCATTACACTAACTGCTGGTCTCAATATGTCTAACTTTTGAAGTCTTCAAAAAACAGATTTTGAAAAGAAAGGATTCTATCTAATTATACTGAAAACAATTCAGAGTGGGCGTGTGTCAATCCACACAGCTAATACACAGACATCTCTCTTTTGGCATCTTCTGTGGATCTTTTGGTTTCTAATGAATACCTTCAAAGAACTTCGTATGAAATTACCTTGCAGTAGATAGGTGGCCAGTGCCCTGGTTTTGGATGAACAAACCTATAAAGGTTTTGTAACACAGTTGCATGGTCATGCCCAGATTCAAAGTGTGAGATAGGAATCTTGTGACTAGAATCGCCTGAAGGAAACAGAAAAGGAGACAGACATTCAACAAATGTGACAAGGTAGGCAGCAAATCAGAGCACAAGAACAGAGTAGTGGGTAACTCACATGTAAGCACTTGTGCCATGCCTGGTTATGGGCAAGTACTTCACATACTATAAGCCATAATCTTATAGCCACTCTGAAGCTGGGGACAGATACGTATTACAGAGCAGGCAAACGAGAATCACAGAATCACAGCTGGAGAACAATGAAGTCCTGACGTGATTTGTCACATCTGTAGCATCTTCACTATCCCCATGCTGTGTTTCATGAGTGTTGCATTAGTAAGACTGGAGCATGTAATAGTAATGACTGCTTTTAAAAAGGCTGTATGATGATTTCCACTTCCAGATCTGCCATGTAACCCAGACCAGCCCAACCTGAGAAACTTAAAAGCTTGAGCTTAAGAAGTGCATGCACAGCTGTAAGAAATCGCTGGGTCAGGATGCAAGACAATATAAAAATTCAGAGAGGAGAGACTTGCTGTAGGTGTTTTCCCCCTAATTCACCAGTTCCAGAAGAGGACGCTGAATGAATGAGCAGTGTGTTTTCTGAAAGCTCGAGGGGCTTGGCTTTCCGGGCCCCAAGATGTCTAAAAGCAAGAAGAAATCCCCCCTGAAGGAAAGTATCATCATAAACAGAAAATCATTCTGAAATCGTTTTCCCCCAAACACTGTTTAAGACTAACCAGGTAAACAAATGAACGATAATAACAACAAGGGCCAGCCCCACAGGGCAGACATTAGGTACTACACTGAGAAAGCCAGACACCACATGGCTGACGAGGGTTCTAGTACCAGCTCCGTCAACTTGGAAAACACACCAGGTGCATGCCCAGGATCACAGAGGGAAAAGGACCACAGCACGACCAGGCCCCAGTGCCCACTACCCTCCAACGTGGGTGGGTGTACATGCCTTCCGAGAATAAAGAGAGAAAGAAACAAGTCAAAGTTGACAGAAGGATGCCGACAGATAATGAAGTTAGCAGGCACAGAGTACAAATAATTATGCTTATTTGGTAGGAGATTATGAATTTTGAATTATGAATTTCAGAATTAAAGTGGAAGCTATAAAGAAAAGGTGCAAGGGGCATCCAACATCTGCTAACAGACTAGAGAAACTTTGAACAAGTGAAGCACCTGCTTACAAGACTACAGAGAGAAAAATGAGTTACAGACCCAGCACCTTGGAAAGGAAGAAACTCTAAAAAGCCGAATCTGACATTTGGCTTTGTTTCTCCTCAGGGGCATTTTTCAACTCTGGAAGAGATTTAAAGGCTGAGAAAGGGAACAGAATTTTCAAGACTCACACCTAGTAAGAATCAAAAACATCATTTTAGTATTATCTTTGTAAATATAAATTAGTTATTAAAAAAACTTGTTTTCTGGCTTCCATTGTTTATGCAACAGTGTCCTCCGCAAACATCACAGACGGTCCTGTGGTGGTCTTCTACCCACTCTCTCCCTTCTCCCAGTCAAGGTCAGCGGGCATCACACCGACTCCCACAAGATCTACAGCCCATTTTTAAATTGCCTCAACTCTTGAAATTGGATTAATGTAATCCAAGATAGCTAGTGGCGACTGTAGCTTTCTGCCAGAGACAATCATAAATCTTCTTGGGAGTAAAATTTTAAAATTTTGAGTAAGCTGTTTATCACTTAATTAAAAATAAGAACACAAGAAGAGATCTGGTAACTTGAGTGGACATCAGGAAAACTAACGAGACTATAAACCACTCACCCCAAAAGAAAAGTTCTTTAACAGGATCATCGGACCTAAGACTTTAAAATAACTAAGATTACTATATTCAGAGAAACAAAACACAATATTAATAATTATCATAGGTCCACAAAAAAGAACCAAATTCAAAAACTGAAAACATACAAAAGGTTTGAAAAAGTTCATGGAAAATGCCTATCATGAAAATCCATGCATGATTTTTAAAGATGTTTGCACCAAAATAAACTTGTGATTTAATTTCCCAGGTACTTTCTGTGGTTCCCTCTTATTACCCAATCCATTTCTATGATGGTAAATGGCCTTGATAAAATTAGACAAGGTTAATTTCACTGCACAAATTTTAAAACAAGTTCATAGCAAACCAAACTCAGTAAATTATGTAGATATATAAGGAGACTTTAGAAAGTTTGTAAGAAAACAGTATTAAAGTTGTTTTAGTACAATTTTTTTAATTCATGCAGAATTTTTTCATAATACACATTTCCTTTGACCTTTTCGAAAACCTCCTTGCATAAAGTGACCCTGTTAGGTTGTTCCTGGAAACCAAGACTGGTTTCACATTAATAAGTCACAAGAACAAAGGACACAAACCACCTGAGACGTAGAAAAAGCAGTCATTAAAATGTGCAACTGAGATATATCTCCCCTCACCAAACTGGGAACAGAAGGAAAGTTCCTCATCCTCAAAACAAGCACATACCAAACAAAAGGGGGAGAAGGAGGAGAAAGAGACAACTATGACAACAGCATACTCACTGACGAAACAAGAAACTAGAGGTCCCAGTCAGCACAGCAATACAAAACAAATGGAGAACAAAAAAATTGTTTTTTGATATAGGGCACATGGGCTCTCCGGAGAGACAGAGAGAGAGAAATCACACACACACAAACACACACACCCCCCAAGAGGGGGATGACCATGCCACAATCCCTTCTCCTCCATTCTCTCGAGACCTTGGGCACATATGCACACATGCCTGGGGTGAGTGTTAAGCCACCAGGTCTGGGACTTGATCCACAGTCAACTACATGGCAGCCCCGCAACCTAACCATTACACCATCTGCTGGTCCCTAAATGGAGAAATTTTTTTTTTCTTTTTTAATTTGGAGAGGTTTATGTTATAGGGCGTGTGTGCTCGCCAGAAAGACAGAGAGACAGAAAGCAAGAGATCACCCCCCAGGGGGGATGATCATGCCGCAATCCCTTCTTCTCCACTGGCTTCTTGGTATCTTGGGCACGCATGCACATGCACCCAGCATGAGTTTAAGCCATCAGGTCCAGGATTCAAACCATGGTCAACTACATGGGAGTCCAGCGACAAAGCCATTACACCAACTGTTGGTCCCAATGGAGAAATTTTTAAAATAAAAAGATGAAGATTAAAAAGAACAAAATGATTCACAGGTATGACTGCATGTGGAATTTACTACAAATCCAGTTTAGCAATAGTTGGAAAAAAATAAAATATAACAGTAAACAATTCAGAAATATAATTTCAAAAGATATTAAAATGGAAGCAAAAAAAGGTAAGATAAACTACAAATTTAACAAAGTATATTAAGATCATTCTGGAGAAAATCAAAATTTTATTGAACGCTATTATAGACCTAAAAAGTAAGAGGGTGGCTCCCTGTTCACCGATTAAAAACAGTCAATAGCAGGGAGATACCAGAACTTCTCTCACAGAAATCACTAACCAAGGAAACAGAAGCAAAGCTTCTCTGGCTGAAGTGGAGCAGGAAAAGAGGCAAGACCTCCTCCACTCATACAAAACCTGAAGTACCTCTTCAGAGAAACACAACGGGACTTCAGCTGAAATTCTGTATGACTCTATAATGCCTAGGAAGCATCCGTTAGACTTCAATTACACATACTTCTTAAGAAATGGAATAGCACAGGGGCATTTAAAATCTAGATGCGTGTTTCCGCGCCACTACTTAAACTGATCCCAGCCACATGTGAATGTGCCCCAGTGTACTATGGTATGAAACACATCAGCTCAGTTACATTAGTTATTATGTCGACACAGCTGTCACTCTAACGGTCACTTACCTTATTTAATCAGCAAATTTCCCAGGGTTATCAAATCGACAATTTAAGACTTTAATGCTAAAATTAGTAAGCTCCAAACAGTTGAAGTCTGCCTGAGTGAGAAATACTGTGCTCATTTTCATTAGGTTGCATAATACATTAAGAAAACATTCCTAGAGACTTTAATAGTTTTCTTTTCTTTTGTCTTAAGAGCTACACTTTCAGGACAAGCAATTGGCGTAATGGCTATGTCGCTAGACTCCCATGTAGTCAACTACAGTTTGAGTCTCGGACCTGGTGGTTTAAACTCACACAGGGTGTGTGTGCGTGCCTGCCCAAGATCCTGAGAGGAGAATCGAGAAGGGATTGCGGCGTGGTCATTCCCCTGGGGGGGTGATTTCTCGCTTTCTGTCTCTCTGTCTCTCTGATTTTTTGTCAAGCACACATGCCCTATAGCAAAAACCTTGCCAAAAAAAAAAAAAACCTATACTTTCTATTAATCTTAGAATTCTAAAATATTGTAAATTCTAAAATATTGTAAAAATGAGACTTTCCTATACTTTCTAAAAATCTTAGAATTCTAAAATATTGTAAATTCTAAAATATTGTAAAAATGAGACTTTAAACAAAATTTTTAAAATAATGTATCAGAATCAAAATAGCTAAGAAACAGTAAACCATAACACAAATGAGCATCTGGCACATAGTAGGGATTCTAGTACATTCAATAAGTGAACAAACCAGAGACAGCTTAATTGACAACATGAAAATTAATTTACCAGCTAAGTCTCTATTGTTTTTAACTACCACCTATTTGGTTCAGTAACTTCATATGAGAGATTAGTTACTTCAACCACAGAATTTTTCTTTCATATGATAATTTTTGTCTATGCAAAGCTGTAAGGGGCCCTACAAAAAAAATTATCCCTTAAACTCTATATTCCAGTCTACAGCCCTGAGTTCAAGCATACAAAAGATGGACTAGTATACATTTTTCATTAACACTGAAAAAACACACAATAAAAAGTGATTCCAAAATATTCTCATTGATAAAGAATAGCATTATAAGTATTGATGTATAACTGATAGCTATGGCAGAGAATGAAAAACTTATTCCAATTTTGAACTCTTCTACAGGCTAGTTGTCCACATTTTTAAGTTAAAAACAAAACAAAACAAAAAACATGCGTTAGGAAAAATAATCGTCAAATGGTCCCCAAATACTGCTTCTGAGTTAATACCGACTAAAAACAATCTCTTGACAACGATTGTCACTTAAATCAAACAAGAAACTGTTGAAAGTCTCATTTCTAGGAAAGAATTTAGTTCAAGAGGTTAAGTATACACAATCATGCTCTTTGGTTACAAAATACTTAAAATAAAAACCAGTTTTCCTCATCTAAAAAAACTCAGAGCTGCTGTGTCTGTTTGCCACTATTATTATTTTTGAAGCACTAACTTTTTTGTTTTTAATTTACATTTTGAATGGATGTGCTTATAAATTGCCCTACATCTAGATAACCTTAGACCTCTGAAAAAAACTTTCCTTAAGAACCTGGTCATAAAAGCTGATCTTAAGGGCAAAGGACAAATACAGAAAATAAAACCATAATCCCCTAAAAAGGAAAAGGTACACACTACAAGTCTATAAAAGTTCTAAAGATCACAGGCACCGCCTCCCATTTCTACAAAGATTTTCTAACAACAGATGCAGGTTATTCTTCCCCCAGCCTATATTTCATGTGTTAGGCAAGTAAGTCTTGACCAGCTATTAATATACTCAATTCCTCAATTCTATCCCATTCTTTATACTTACTTGCAGCCTGACAGTGAAACCGAAATCCTCGTGGAATTTCACCTATAATACAAAATATGGTGATGAGAGAAAGCAGAAATCTGGAAGTTGTTTAGTTGTACTACAATAATACTCAATAGGGTGACAAAGTCCTAACATAGAAATTTTTATTATGTAAAAATACAAAAAATTATACCTTCATGGTGTTTAAAAAAAAAGGGGGGAACGATAACTATCAAAGACTTTACTTATACTGCCTAAGCTACTTTAAAAAGCAAGTCACTTCTTACAGAGAAAGAAATACTACGTAAAGAAAGCTTGTTCCAAAGGAATCTCAGCTAGGGAGCCATGAAAAGAGCCTCAGGGGATCATGAAGCCTTTGGTTTGGTAAAGTATCTATGCATTCTCAGAGAACTAGTCTCCAAATGCTATCTTTTTAATGTTTTACAACCCATTTGGGGGAGGGAGGGAAGGCAAGCTATTTGAATAGTCTAAGCAGCAACATCCACCAGTATAAAATACAATAATTAATTAATTTTTCTGTCATCTAAAAATAAGGAGCAGGGTTAGAGGTGGTGCAGCGGACCCATACAGGAAGGTCCCAGGTTTGCCTCCCAGAGCCTACTTCTACATGCTGGGAATGTGCACATGAGCCCATAATTTGAGCTGACTGAGACTGAGGGTAAGTTACAGCATAAAAACCCTGCTGGGGGTGGGGGCACCTCTTTCTCTCTCATGGAAAAAATTTTTTAAAAAATTGAATTTTAAAGTGCCTAATAAAACTGAGATGAAATTCTTTCCCCAACCTCTTTTCTCTATCCATTTCTCCTACTTACCTTCAAGGCTATGGCGTTCCCTTAACTGCAACCTATCCTTTGGGCAATTTAACCAAATCCTATGGCTTCCTAAGGATCTTGCTTTTCCTGAAGTCTAATACTGGGAAGGATAGCTATGATAACAACTGAGAGCCTAGCAAGTACTGGGCTATTTTCATACCGTCTCATCTACTCTTAACTGTCTTCCAATAAACACCATCCTCACTTTACATATTAGCCAACAGGTTCAGAGACGTAACTTCCTCAAGGTTACCAGGCAATAACAGCTTAAAAAACTAGTGACTGGTCTAGCAAGTGGTGTGGTGGTTAGGGTGTTGGACTCCCTCATGGCTGATTGTGGTTCAAGTCCCAGACCTGGCAGCTTGCTATCTCACGTCCCCGCCCGGCCCCGGCTCCCCCCACCCCGTGAGTCCACGTGCCGCATAGCAAATTAAAAAATAATAAGTAAAATTAAATAATTCTTTAACAACAACAACAAAAAACCCTAGTGATGGCTCAGGTGATGGAAGAGAAAGAAGACTTAAGTTTTTAGAATAATTCCAATATGTAAAGCCAAAGGGTATGCAAGTAGCAGGTTGTGCATTTTTCAGGCATCCTGTCCACCTAAATCTAATGCTTACTCAAGGTTAAAAACCTAAACCCAAAACCCTCTGTCAATCTCCCAATCCAATTCCTAACAGTTTTTCAACAAAGTACTACGAAATCTATTACATCTTTAAGAACTCAGCCGTGTACTAGCTATAATGAAAATAAACATGATCATCAATGAAGTTAAGATAAAAAACACTTTTAAGATCTACAGTATCTACTCTAACTAGCTACTTACCAGGATTTATAAAACTGTGGAAATCTGCCATAATTCCTTCTTGGAGAGAATATTTAACACAGCCAATTTCACAAGGGAGGAAGCGCTGTTCACAATGAGGAGGTAGCTCGCCATGGCTAAAAATGTTCAAAAAATAAAAAATGCCTCCAAGGAGAGCTTAAAAAAAAAAAAAGATGAAATGAACGAGTATCTCAAACTTATGCCTTCCATAAAAGCCTCATTAGTTGAAAGGGAAAAAATATTTAGAACCACATTTCCTGTGTTTCTACATTACTCAAAGATCTGGAAGAGAAAAAACTAATCAAACTTTTATAACCACAAGAGGCAAGGGTTAAGTGGTAGCCATCTTTGCATATAGCAACAGAATATGCAGGCCTGCAGTCAGCTGTACAAATTCGGCTATACATAAGCCCTGAATCTCAGGTAGAAAACCTCTGTGGTATAAACCGTTAACAATTTAGTTCATTCTTTTTTTTTCACTTTTTTCCCAATACATACAAGACCACCAATAAATGTGTGGGTACGTGAAGTCATCTTATTTACCAGTATTGGCCACATTTAAGGTTGTTAAAAGTTGATTAGTGTTTAACAAAGGCAAAATACAACAGGATCAACCAGAAGGGATAACAAGAACCTTTTAGCTATGTTCTCTTCTAAGTTAGCTCAATAATTCGTCTTTATCTTTGTAACAGCCTCTAGGATACATTAAATTTTGAAATTTACAAATAAAAATTGTATAAATTTATGGGGAACAATGCAGTCTTGACATACACGTGTATCATGGAGTGATTAAGTCAAGCTAATTAACAGTGCTCTCACCAACGTCAGCTGGGGGTGTGGCAGTGACGGTGACTAGACCGCACACAGCCCACTGCACGATTCAAGTCCTGGAAACCCAGAGGCTTGGAATACATGCCAGAAGCGTGTGTGTGCATGCCAAAATCCAGAAGGGAGAAGGGAGGAGAAGGGATTGTGGAATGGCCATCCTTCTGGAGGGCTGGGAGGTACTTTCTCACTTTCTCTAGTGAGTGCGCGCACCTTATAGCAAAATACAAAACAAGAAAGTATATCTATCATATCACATACTTTCTTTGTGGTATGAACATTTACTATCTCACTGCAATTCTGAAATAAAATCATTGCTATAGTCACCATGTTATATAACAGATCCCAGAAACATGTTTACCCTGCCTACCTTTATAATGTAAGTATGCATTTAAATGTCTAGCTATAAATGAGTCTAAGAACTACGTTTAATAACATATGAAGTGGTAGAATCCAAGAGACTAGCTTTCTCTTTTTTACAAAAACATCTCTAGTATTACCAAACAAATGTAAATTATCTGATCTTTTATCATGGTAGCACCATAATATTTAAACACTTGTCAATTACTCTGAAATGGAGAATCAAACTGAACAGAGAAAACATTTTTCTGATTAATATATCATAGTGTTCTGAGCATCCAAATTTATCTAAGCAAAATACCCGAGGATTACTCTACCTTGATCATTTTTTAAAGACAAACTTGACATATCTGGGGGTGAAACATTCTGCTTTGGTACAAGCATGCCTGGCCTCCTCAGTGGTGTAGAAACAGGTTTCTAAAAGAGGAGAAAATGATGGACCACACAGTAAAATTTTTGTTGAGCACTTTAGACTGTATCTTTAAATTCAACAATATAACTGCTAAAGAGATGATAGGTTTCTCCAGTAACTTCTCCAGGCCCGCCAGTTAATACCTAAATCTGTTAACACCACCAACAACCAAAGGCTGACAATGACAAAATCTACATATTTTGCATCAGAAGATGAGCAGTGAGTAACCAACTATTACTAGAAGCCATCTGCCCACTACTGGCTAAGTTCATCTTCCCGAGCCATCTATTATATGCCAAGCCAGTGGTCAAAAGAACACTTTTTGTGTTTGTCAAACTACTGTATCTACATACACACATATACACGTATACACACACACACACACACATTTATTCAGGTCATAGGGCACAGTGTACTTACTGAAGAGAGACAAAGAGAAAGAGAAAATGAGTAATCAACCCCACCAGGGGGACAATCCCTGCTCCTCCATTCTTCTCTTAGGATTATGGGCACACATGCACGCACACACATGTGTGATATTCAAGCTCCCAGGTATGGGACTCTAGCCATGAAGTTGGCCATGTGGGATCCAGTGCCTTAACCACCAGACCACAGGTTGGTCCCAAAATACTCTATATTCTGTCTGTGTTTCACTTAAAAACCAGGTACATTAACTCTATGTCTCACATAAGTTATACGGATGGCAAAGGAGGGTCTTCAAAAATTCATTGAAAATGTGTGTTATCAAAAAATTATGCATGGATTCTTTTTTTTTTTTGCCCCAAACTTTTTGAAGTCCTTTCACAACACAGCTTAAATTTCAAGGTTAAGTAACAGGCAGAAGAAAAAAATAAGTATAACTAAGTACAAGTTCAACTGACCACAACTGCTACTCTAAGTCCACAAAATCTCTCAAAGCAAGCAAAGCTCTCTTGAATCCAGTCCAATGTTTCCAATGCTGACAGTTTAAGAATAGAATTCTACTATGTCAGAATGAAAAGAACTCAAAGGGGAGTACTCACAATTACCTACCACTCTCCTGACACAAACCAGCAAATAGATAAAGATATAGAGAGGTGTGTATATTATTCTAACATTTTGTTACACAGAAATTTACTGAAAACCTTTTATTTAACTCATTTACCTATGAGAAATACAAAAATTCACCAACATTTCCAAGTCTTCCCTTACCTATAAGACATACAAAAATTCACCAACATTTCCAAGTCTTGATATTCCAATATTTCTTTTTTTTTTTGGCGAGGTTTTTGCTATGGTGTGCATGCACTCACCAGAAAGACAGAGAGAGACAGAGACAGAGAGACAATCTAGAAATCATCACCAGGACGGATGGCTATGCTGCAATCCCTTCTCCTCCAATCTCCTCTCGGGATCTTGGGCACGCACGCACATGTGCCCAGTGTGAGTTTAAGTCACCTGGTCCAGGACTTGAACCACAGTCGACTACATGGGAGTCCAGCGACACAGCCATTATGCCAACTGCTGGTCCCTGTATTCCAATATTTCAAACAGAGCAGCTGGCTGGGTTCTAGGTGTCATTTAAAGGGAATGGTACAAACTACCTTTGACCATTTCACCCAAAAAAAAAAAGCTCTTTAATCACACAGGAAGTAAAGGGTGTATATGGGGGCCAGCAGGTGGTGTGGGGCTAAGGCAGCTGGATTCCCACATGGCTGACCGCAGTTCAAGTTTTGGATCCAGTGGCATGAAAATCATGCCGGATGCATGTGCGTGCTCAAAATCCTGAGAGGCGAATGGAGAGGGGATTGCTGCATGGACATCCCATATCCTAGGGAGGGGGGGTTATTCCTCACTTTCCCTTTTTGTTTCTATCTCCTCTATAGCAAGCATACATGCCCTATGCCAAAAACCTAAAATTTTTTTTTAATTTAAAAGGTGGGGGGGGGGGGCATAT